TTAACAATTTTTTGAGACTAGCAAAGATTATTTCAGATATAACCCTACTTTTTAACCCAAAGCAGGGGGTGTAAAATGGATTCCTACCTTCCCGAAGAGTATTTGCAGGTAAAGTGATGACCAGCCTCAACCCATCTCCCCTTTTAGGCCTTGTGCCACAGTTGTATTTTATATGCAATAAATCTTGATGGAAGGGAAAAGAAAATGGGTACAAAAATAGGAGGCCTATGTGCATTCATCCTCTAGCTAAGTTAACTTTGAAAAAAGAAGCTAAAAGAATATAACAAACTGGACTGAAATTCGAACTCAGTCCTCCATTACATCCACCAGTAAACACAAAACTCAAAATCATTTTGTTGATTTTGTTCTCCATGAGTCAATACACATTATGTTGCTTTATTTCCTTTGTAGATATTAGTTAATCGGAGAAAATGATATATAAAGTTTTATATACTAGAAGAAGGTTAGAAAGTTAATGACAAAGTGGAAAATTTTTTCTGGGTAGTTAACAAATTATATAAAAACATATGATGTTTACATTATATTTGTAAAGTAATTTTTACAGCTATGTACACCTGTAGAAAGAGAGAATTGGATAAACTTCCATCTGACAACATCTTAAACAAACACCTACTTCCGTGTTAGAAAATGCATTTCTGCGATATTTTAAACTAAAAGCAAATAATAATTGTTTCAAATCAGAATAATTAAACTTTAAATCAGCTAGTATTCTTCAAATAAAATATCAGAAAAGTATATTTTATTTTTGAAAGATTTCATAAAGAGAATTAATGTACTGGCAGATGGCTAAAATCAACAATTTTTAGCAATTCAAAAAAGAAAAAAAAAAAAAAAAAATCTTTCCAGGGAATTTAAATTAAATTGTGAAATACTGCAGGTATTTTGCTAATATGAAATATTAAATTTAATCTCTTATCTTGAAATTAAAACTAAAACAAAACTTCAAGAAATATTTTTCATTTTAAAGAAATTTAAACCTTAGATAGTGAGATTCTTTGGATGTACTACATTCTCCAAGGGCTGCTGGTTATAGCTAATATAGTGTAACCTGGATATAAGAGACCCGGATATAAGAGAAACCCGGATATAAGAGAGATTTTCTCAGGTCCCAAATTAGAGCCTGTGTTAATGTATATAAAATAGACCAAACCCAGATATAAGAGAAGCCCGGATATAAGAGACTTCTTCTGCGGTCCCGACAGCTCTCTTATATCCGGGTTACACTGTATTAACATTAAGTCATACAAAGTGAATTTCTCAATGTTCCATAACATTAAATAAGGGAGCAGTATAAAAGATGTAAAAAAAAAAAAAAAAAAAAAATTACCAAGATTTTCTAAAAATGAAACATTTCTAAAAGAATTTCATTCATTTGTGAAGGTTTCATTAGAATCCAACAATTATTCAATTTTTGGAAGAATTTCAAAATCAATGTGCTTTTCATCAGAAAAAGATGCTAAAATTACCATATACTTATTTATTGTCACCTGCTGATGCAAGAAAAAAAATTTAACCCAAATTTTGAAGGTTCTAAAAAGGATTAAAAAATATAATTTCAGAATCAAGAAATCATTTGGTTTTTCCTCTTAGTAAGATTTTGGTTTTATCAATTTGGGGGCATTTTTTTCATTATGTGTCTTACTCTTCATTTTAAATGAATCTTTGGGGGGACCTACAGAAAATCATCATCTACTCAAGTTTACAAACAGCTTTATTCTCAGGTGATTTACTGATAAGAAAACTTGCAAAACATTCTGACATTGAGGTTCTGACATTGAGGTTTTGAAAAAAAAAAAAAAGTTTAAACCATTATCAAAAAAAAAAGTAAGTCATTAACATACCCAACACTGTTCGTATAATTAAAATCCATTTTCTTGTTGTTCACACAGTGCTTTGTCAGGTGCATTCACTAAAGAGAGAAATGGCTCTATTTCCTTTCAGAAAAAAAATCAAAATAGTGTCAGAAATGTACTAACCAGGCCAGTCTATTTTCACAGCACCATGTTAGTTAAAGAACCATACAATTTCAAATTATACTTTGCAGATGGTGCATTACACCAACTTTACTCAGCAAAGTAAACTATATAATGTTTTAAGGTTTTATTTTAAAAAATTGAATTAAAAGGCCAATATTAAAAAATGAATTTGTAAATTTCTGAAGTTCAAATATACAAAAGTAGGTTTCCTTTTCAGTACAATTTTTTAAAACTATGATCAATCTCATTTTGTTTCAACTGTTTTTTCCCCCCAATTCCAAGCAATGAACAGTAAAGTTACTGTGATCTTTGCATACATTTGTTTTCCATCAAAATTCAAAAAGGTACCAGAACCATCTGATTCTATTTGTTTCCCACCCCTACAGTACATCAGTCGATGAAACAAACAGAATTAAGACTAGTAAAATACCACTCAGTTTCAACTAAATATCTTGTCTATTTGTCCAACTGAATCTATGCAGAGTCTCTGCCCAACTATTCTAGATAAAAACATTAACTCTTCATCTTTGCGTACAAACATCTTACAAAACCTTGAACATACAATCATTGCTGTTCCTACAATGGACTAATAGGTACCTCCACGAAATCGCTAAAAAAAGAGCATAGCTTGATGAAAAAGACGCCAAACTTGCCGAAAACTAAATTTTATTGTCTAAATGCTTATGTTATTATTAAGAGGAAAGACCAAAGTTTTTTTAATTATTTTTAAAAATTTTCCTTCTTTTAGAACATTCTAAATTTTGATTAAAAAAACCTTTTTCTATTTGTATCAGCGGAACTAGTAAATAACATAGACAATTTTAGCACGTTTTTTTTTGTATGACACACATTAATTTGAAAAATCGTGCAAAAATAGAAATAATTATCGGATGTTAATGAAACTTTCAGGAACTATTCACAGATGATCGAAATTATTATAAATATGTTTTTTTTTATGAAAGTCATGGTAGAAATATTTTTTTTAAAATATTTATTACCCCCCCATAACTAATTTTATGAAAAAGCTAGAAATTCGATCGATCGGTTTTAGTGATTACAATAATTAAAAAGCACAGGGCTTTGAGGAATGCAAATCATGTTTTTTTTTTTTTTTTAATTGGATACGCAGTACCTGAAAATCAGCTCTGAATTGTAACATACAAAACTCAATAAAACAAATATATTATTTAATTTCAAATGCTTTTATTTGCTTTTAGTTGTTTTTATGAATATGGACAATATTTTCTGAAAGCAAAAAAATTTTTTCGATGAAAAATGAATTTTAATACAATTATTTGTTATTTCATTAATTATAATAGATTTTACATTTAAGTTGTTAAAATATTATAAAATTAGTTAAAAAGTCGCATCGGCTTTCATAAGTGTCCTTATGAGATAGATCTTTTTTAGCACGTTGTAAATTGTATCATTTTGACTAATCAGAAGATACCCAGTAATTAAGAAATGTAATTTTGTGCTTATAATCGAGCTGTAATTATAAAATACGGAAGACCAACCAGAATATAATTAAGTTGCGTTATTTGAGTTAAGCATTGTTCTCCGCTGTTAAGGCCTTTACTTTTTTGCGAAAACACGTGTGGAGAAGTTAATTTGATTTTCAATTTCAACTGAGAATGGTACCTACAAGTATCAGTATCATCTTATGAAATTTATATGATCTTATTTTTTATATTAATCTCAGTTACGACATTTTTCCATAAATGAAATATCAAAATTAATAATAAAATGAATGCAAATACAAATAACAGTAGAATGTAATAAATGTACATAAAATTATAGTATTTTATGTACAATTCTGATAAAATTTCATAAGAAAGGTACCTATAAATTAATTAGATACCTTTCTTAAGAAATATGAAATTTAATGTCACTCTTAACAGTTTTATTTTAATTTCTTTACAATATATTTCCCATAAAGCATCATAAACGTAAAGGTGAAAGCTAAGTACAAAAAAAAAAAAAAAAAAATTAGACCGCTGAAAGTTTTCGTTAAAAATAACGGGTAAATAATTTGTTCACGTAAATGTAAATTATTTCACTTTTCTCCTTCCGTAGAACAAATTAGCCTCATGGAATTCGTAAATATATCATTCATCACATGTCAAGAGACGTGAAAGTTTATGACCTGCTTTGTTTTATTTTCAAATTACATCTTTTTGGCACAAAAAAGCTAAGTTAAGTTTGGTTCAAAATATTTTAAATAAACATTATAATTTCTGATTTTCTTAAAATAAGTTTTGAAAAATGATAATTGATATTTAAAAAAATTTCAAAGTCAGATTTCCAGTTTTTTTTAAAATGGAAAAAATGGTCAATTTTGCTGACTCAAAAAAAACTAGATTTTTAACGAAAATTTCGGACGTGCTAGGAACGATTAAAAAATGGAAAAAAATACCCCAAAAATACTTTGACCTTTCCTCTTAATAATAACAAACATTTAGACGATAAAATTTTGTTTTCGTCAAGTTTGGCGTCTTTTTTATCATGCTATGCTCTTTTTTTAGTGATCTCGTGGAGGTACCTAGACTAATACTACACAAATATTCATGCACATGAATTTATCCAAACATCGGCGACTGATTCTCATGTGTTTTCTTCAGCAAATATTCAAATGATGCACTTTTCTAAGAGGAGAAATACCATTACTTGTTAACTGCTTCCAATCGTTATCCAATACATTTGTTTGCTATAAATAACTTTTACTTCCTACCAAGTGTATTAAGATTACGAAAATTTAATGAGTGTAATGATATTTTGTTACAAGCAGCACCATGGAAACTTCACAATGATTTTATGAATAACTTATTCAGAAGGACTTAAGGAATATAAAATTAGACATGACTGAATCAGGGAGGGAATTATTCACTTGGATTTGCGTAAACCACTTGGGTTTAAACTAAACAAAGAAAACTAGAAACTGTTTTTGTAAATTGGAAAATGTACAATATTTAAGGATTTTGACACCCATGTGTTTCATTTTATTTAAGTAAGGAAGTTAGACTTAGCTGTAAAGCAAGAGAAAGATAAAGAAAGAAATACAAAAAGAGAATGATAATGAAAGAGAGAAAAAAGAAAGACAGAGAGAGAAAAGAGAAAAAAGAGAGAAAAGAGAAAAAAGAGAGAAAAGAGAAAAAAGAGAGAAAAGAGAAAAAAAGAGAGAAAAGAGAAAAAGAGAGAAAAGAGAAAAAAGAGAGAAAAGAGAAAAAAGAGAAAAAAGAGAGAAAAAAGAAAGAGAAAAAAGAGAGAAAAAAGAAAGAGAAAAAAGAGAGAAAAAAGAGAAAAAAGAGAAAAAAGAAAGAAAAAAGAGAAAAAAGAAAGAAAAAAGAGAAAAAAGAAAGAAAGAGAGAGAAAGAGAAAAAAGAAAGAAAGAGAAAGAGAAAAAAGAAAGAAAGAGAGAGAAAGAGAAAAAAGAAAGAGAGAGAAAGAGAAAAAAGAAAGAGAGAAAGAGAAAAAAGAAAGAGAGAGAAAGAGAAAAAAGAAAGAGAGAGAAAGAGAAAAAAGAAAGAGAGAGAAAGAGAAAAAAGAAAGAGAGAGAAAGAGAAAAAAAGAAAGAGAGAAAAAAGAAAGAAAGAGAGAAAAAAGAAAGAAAGAGAGAGAAAAAGAGAAAAAAGAAAGAGAAAAAGAGAAAAAAGAAAGAGAGAAAAAAGAGAAAAAAGAAAGACAGAAAAAAAGAGAAAAAAGAAAGACAGAAAAAAAGAGAAAAAGAGAAAAAAAGAAAAAAAAGAGAAAAAAGAAAGAATAAAAAGAGAAAAAGAGAGAAAAAGAGAGAAAAAGAGAAAAAGGAGAAAAAGAAAAAAGGAGAAAAAGAGAAAAAAGAGAAAAAGAGAAAAAAGAGAAAAAGAGAAAAAAGGAGAAAAAGAGAAAAAAGAAAGAGGGAAAAAAGAAAGAGTGGGAAAAAAGAAAAGAGAAAAAAGAAAAGAGAAAAAAGAAAAGAGAAAAAAGAAAAGAGAAAAAAGAGAGAACGAGAGAAAAAAAGAGAGAACGAGAGAAAAAAAGAGAGAACGAGAGAAAAAAAGAGAGAACGAGAGAAAAAAGAGAGAACGAGAGAAAGTGAAAACGAGAGAAAGCGAGAACGAGAGAGAGAGAGAAAGAAAAAGAGAGAGAAAGAAAAAGAGAGAGAAAGAAAAAGAGAGAGAAAGAAAAAGAGAGAGAAAGAAAAAGAGAGAGAAAGAAAAAGAGAGAGAAAGAAATGTTGTCGAACAATATATTCAACTCAGCTGACTAAAGGACAAGATACCAGGAAATAAAAATAAATTATGACATATCTCAAGTGCTGTAAAAAAACAGGGAATATGCAGGTGACAGTAGTTACTACACTCATTGGAGCACATGGAACATCTGCAAAGAGTATTTCAAAGGAGAAACCAAGATCTGAGAAGAAAATAGAGAATATACTGACAATATACTGATATACTGACAGAACAGCCAGTGCAATTGTCGACTGAATTTTACAGAAACTTTCTATTAATTTTTTTTTTCAATAAAATAGGTTTTTCAACTCCACTGGCTAGTATTGATGGGAATTTGCTTCCTAACTTTTGTTTAAAGTCAGGTGAAACATCAACATATTCATTATGTCATTCTTTTCTCTTCAAGCTATGTGCTATCCATTTCAGTTGTTGCTGCTGCTGGAAATCCCCAATTGATATGTTGGGTATAGTTCTTAGTTTGAAAAAGAATCCAAAGTAACATTTGTGGAGAAGATGACCACAGAGAAATAATGTCAATGCCCAACCTTATCCAATTAAAGAATAATGTTTCTCAGTTAACATCTAATTTATAAGGAAATAAACTATTTTATGATAGGTTTGGAATCTTTCAAAGGAAAAGTCAACAAAATCACTGAGAAATAATTAATGGTATTTTTGTTGATACAATATTCACCGATTACTTTAGGGTATAAACAGACTTTAATTCACAGAGTAAATCAAAATAATAAGGCAAAACTTTGACTATAGACAACTTCATTTCAGATGAATGGACTCCAATTCCTTCAGGTCTTTGATTCAACTGATTGTGTTTCTTTATTCTATATTTTCAAGTTTGAAAGGTCAAAAGGCAACCTGTCCAATTTTTAGAAACTGACAATAGAACACTAAGGTTATGGTTTAAGGTTAGGTGCTGAGCATGTGTATAGACAGGATCAGCTGAGAGTTCAAAGTTATGTGAAAAATGAAAAGTAGTTCCAGGAAAACAGTTTGTTGGAGATTTGACTTAACTCACGATTCTTTCTCTTCAAAAGGGAAAAAGAAACAGATAAACAATAATTAAAAAATACCATTTTAACAACATAAAAAATATACCCTAAAATCAGATATATTAGTAATATCTAAATTTTTTAATTTTAGTCATTGTTCACAAATTTACATATTTTTTAATCCTCACTTGAAGTCTGAAGAGTGAGGAACAATAACTGGTTATCTATGCTTTTTTCAAATAATTTTTTTCATTTCGCATTTTAAGTTAATTATATATTTTTCTTGCACTTCCTCCCATTGTTTTAATATATTTGTATGTACTATATAAAATTGCATAATTTGTATGCACTATATAAATTTGTATCTATCTATAAAAGGCAGGATGTGTGCGTGTGTGTGTAACGAATACACGGACGCAATTTTCAACAGATTTGCACCAAAATTTACATGCACAAAGTTAGCAGGAAGGCCAAGACTGACTTTGCATTTCCCAACTCCCATCGATAGTGGAAATAATCAATTTTTTCATGCTTCTATGGCAGTTTTCATGTAGTTTACAGCCATTTTCTACTGGCCAGAGTGAGAGCCTATAGCTGGCTGCCACGAATAGGCAAGATGATTCTATTGGCCAGCGTGAGAGCCAACAGCTGACTGATACAAATGTTAACTAGCATGCAAAAAAATCGATAGCTGCATTCGTCACAAGTGGGAAAAACTTAAATCTGCATGGCACTTTACTCCAATTGGCTCATTCGCTTCCTTAAACTCAACATTGATTCTGATTCCACAGAACTGGGTTGGATGCGAAAAAGTATTTGTTGTTAACATTCTTTTATCATTCGGTTTTTCCAGTTACGAGTCCTTTTTTAAAGCTGATTGTTTTGTGTTCATTTTGTTTAGTTCTTTTTTCATAACAGATTTAATGTTTAGTATAGAGCTTAGAAAAAATTTGCATTGTGAGATAGGCAAGAAGTAAGGCATGTAGCAACATCAGCATGGCAAAGGGCACTCCTTTAAAGACAAGGAAGGGCAAAAATATTTTAAGTTAAGTGATAGCGATTGCTGTATGAGTCGTACAATATTTTAATCAAGGATAGGCAACGCTGGGCCATGCTGCTAGTAATATATAGGTACATCTACAAAAATGCGATAGCAAAGGTTTAAAATTAATTTTAAAAAAGGAAAATCTTTCTTGAAGCTTTTATTTTAGTTTTAATATCAAACTAATAAATTAAATTTTTAAATTCTTTTTAAAATATCAGTGGTCACTAAATTGTAATGAGCTTTCCTATTTATTAGTAAATATAGATGTTACTTAATAACAATATAACCTAACTGTTACAAATTAAGACAATATTAAAAGATTTTAAACTTTATAAATTATAATTATATTTTTTTAATAAAATGAAAACAGTTCTTGTAAAAATTCATCAAATTATTTTTCTTAAGACAATCGTGTCTGTAAAATATCTGATTCATAAAAACAATTAAAAGGTTTTCTAATTAAATAATATCTTAGTTTTCTTGCATTTTTTTTTATTTTACGATTCTGAGCAGGTTTTTGGTAACTGGTCATCCTGTTTGACCAAAGAGAAATTGCTGACTAAAATTTTCCGAGTTCTGCTTTTAACTAAAGCGTTACACCAGTGAATTTCTCGAATTTTCATAAAATTAAATAAGGGGGGATTAAGAGATGTAAAAAGAAATATTTTTAAAAAATTCAAATAATTTCATTCTTTTGTGAATAAGTTCTGAAAGTTTCATTAAAATCTGAGAATTATTTGATTTTTACAAGAATTTCCAACTCAATGTTTTTTTCGCAACAAAAAAAAAAAAAAAAAAAAAAGAAAGAAAGAAAAAATGCTAAAATTTTCTATAATCTTTGAAAAATAGACTGAACAATTACAAAAACCTTCATCTCTGAAACTCTAGCATTGTGGTGCTGAATATAACATCAATCAGCTAAGTGCCAAGTTTTATTTGTATTATTTAATCCTATTATAAAATTTTTTTTAATTTGTTCATTTTAAAGCTTTAACAGAATTATATGCACCACATAAATTACTTAAATAAAAATAATGAAATAAACCAGTATCAAAACTTAAAACAAATCTAAGGAAAATGACGTTTTTCATTTTTCCAGCCTTGATAGTTCAGGTAGTTTTAATAGAATGGGTTCATTGAAGAAATTTAGACAATGCTTCTTTTATTGTTTATTTTTTGTAGTTAAAATATTTCATATGTTAAACTTAATACAGTGCTCACTAGTATATGGTTTTTAAAATAGATTTTTGACATATTTGTTTTTTGGTCTGTAACAACAAACTCACCCATTATCAATCCTGGTTTGCATTCATCTCTGATCCTTTGAACAGGAGTAGAGGTTTATCCCTTGTTTCCTGTTTAGGATCGGATTTCAAATATTTTCTAAAGTCTACTCTATACTTCTGACATCTCTGCCTAAACTTTGAAATTTCATTTACTATTTTTTTTCTCAGTAGATATGTCTGCCTATTATCCAGTTCACAGTCCTCCCTGATTTTTTGAATAACAGTAGATGTCTGGTTTCCTGTTTGGAATTGGCCTTCCAGTTCTGTTACGTAGGAATATAGTGTTGCTCCCAACACTTGAGTTTGAACATAGATCGCCAGTGAGCAAACACAGGCGATCCCATTATTGAATTAAGTAGACCACATGACCATAGAGGAAATGCATATATGTAAGTAGTAACTGATGACTAACGATCATTATTGCTAGTCTATCCTCTATAATATATGGATCTGTATTTCTACTCTATTCACTATACTGTTTCTCTATTCAGATCACTATACGGATTACTTTTTAAGCGAGCATTATCAAGCAAGTACTATTAGTGCAAGTGATATTTGAAGGCGTCTAACACCAGTATTGTTTAACGGCATTACTACAATTGTATTTGCGATTACAAAATTTCTACTACAGCAAGCATTACGAAAGTGACAAGTATTCATTGGCATCACAAAAGTGACAACGGTTGTTTGTTGGCATCACAAAAGTGACAACGGTTGTTTGTTGGCATCACAAAAGTGACAACGGTTGTTTGTTGGCATCACAAAAAGTTCTTTCTAAAGTCTTCTCATTCTCTTTCACTCCAAGTAGTCACATCATTGTCTTGCTTGGCGTGAATGGATTAGAAAAAAATAGTAGTTCCACCAGTCCAGACTTTCACAACTATGACCTGTCATACCACATACACATGGTCAATTCGTCCTCATTCTCTTTGTAATGCTGTAGTAAGGAGGAAGTTCAATTCAGACAGATTGTTCCGAAGAACTGTCAGTTTGCGGAATAACTAAAAGGAAATAAACACTTTTAACCACAGTCAAGATTATGGAGTCATTGTGAATGCCATGATCTTGTCAAAGACTGCATCATATTACGGGCTAAACCAGGGCGACATACAATTTTGAATTAAGAGTTATCCTTCTGGACAGAATGCCAACCACAACTGGAGAGCTTAGACTGCTTTATAGGGTGCACATGGCAAGGAGCTTCATCTCACAGAATATTATTAAGTCACAAAGTTTGCAGCATTTCCTGAAATTTAGAAAAACACAGACAGGATGTTAATATATCTGTATTGTATTATTGCTCTGTAGTTTAATGCAGGTATGGGGGAGAAATGGATAGAATCTCAGATTGAGGAATCGGATAGCTGAGTTTGAATTCCACTCAAAACCGTTACATTCACTTACGTACTAATACCTTTGGGGAAGGTATGAATCCTCGTCTTCTCCCCCCCCAGCTATGGATAAATAGCAGGACAGACCAGGTTCTATAGCTTTGAATGGCAATTGGTCTACCACAGAAAGAAATGCCTATCTACTACGGGAAAAAAAATCTGCCTCGTCAGTCATGTATCAAAAGATACATGATTGCCTAAGCATTTATCACACATGGCACATAACTGACTGAGTTTAATGCAAATAAATATTGACATTGTTTATAATACTGTTTCTCAAACTCTGATGGTTTTTTTTTTTT